GAGTGGGGTCCTTCACTCACTCCGGGGGCCCCGGAAAACTCTCCCAGGGCCCAGGGCCCCGGAGCTTCTTCCCTTCCAGGTCTTCGGCGGCAGTGGGGTGTCCTTCCACCCCAAGACCCACCGCCGAAGACCCCAGGCCCCTTGAATCCTCTGGGCGGCCCTGGTGCGGGTTGCTACCTCGCTGGCTGCTGGCATCTCTCTGCCTGAGCAGTTTCCACCAGGAGCACTGGGGGTGGGGGAGGAGCTGCTGGCTGCTGTCCCCTGCTGTTTTCTTTCTCTCCCCACCACAAAAAATACCGTCCCAGGCTCGAGCTCCCCCCACTGCCGCTGCCCGGGAATCCTTGGGGGTCTCCCCACAGCTGTTGTTTCCAGGCTGCTTCTGAGCAGCCAACGTGGGCAGCTCCCACTGCTCTTTAACCCGACAGCCCCCAGCCCCCGGTGGGCATCACACAGCCAGCCCTGGAATGCAGGCACAGGCGGTGGGCGGGGCCGGCTGGGCAGCCCCTGGGCCCTGACTCCTCTGTGCGCCCCCAGAGCGGGGAAGGCTGGGGCAGGATCCCCCCACCCTCGGCCCCGAACCTCCAGCAGCTGCTGCTGCCCCTTGCTTGGGAACCCACCAATGATTCTGTCCCTGCCCCCTACCCGGGCGTCCCCTCTGCTGGGTCCAGGACTCAGGGCAGAGCCTGTCTCTGAGCGTCCCATTGGTGCAGAGACCCCCTGATCAAGGACATGTACAGGAATAAAAATGTGGCCGCTTTTGGAGGGGCACTTTTTGTGCTCCCCGCAGCCAGAGGAACTGGCTCTGCTCCCTGGAGGAGTTCTGTGCTCCAGTCCCATTGATTCAGGGGGGCCCTGCACCTGCTTCCCCCTTGCACATGACCCTGCCCCTGAGGGTCTGGCTGGGGGTGGGGCTGGGAGTGGGGATACTGAGCCGGGCAACTCACCTGCTACCACCAGCTCAACAGGGTCGCTGGGATGCGACCAGAGGAACTGGTACATTTTGGAGTGATAATAGCAGCTGTAGCTCCCTGCGTCTCTCCAGTTCATGTTACGAATGGGAAACTCAGCCAGGTCCCCAGCAGGCTCCACATCCTGCAGTGCGTTCGGGTTTCCATCTTTGTACAGAAGGAACCTCACGTTCTGGTACCGACCTTGACACCGGACAGTCACAGTTCCCCCAAGGGCAACCTCCCCACTGGGGCGCAGGGAAATGGAGGGTTTGGGGTAGTAGTTATCTGTAGTGAGAAGGAGACAGGCCGTGAGACAGACCCCGGCACAGTCACTGTGCCCCATCCTCGCTGCACAGTCCCAGAGACGGGGCCCCTGGGAGAAAACCCAGCCAAAGGAACCTCTCCCAGATCCCAGAGACTCCTGGGAGCTACGCCCGAAACTGTCTAAAATCCAGAGCACCCCTCCGCACCGTCTAGCTACTTAATGGGGCCCCACAGCCTGGGGTCCAGAACTCCTGGGTTCTATCCCTGGCCCTGGGAGAGGAGTGGGGTCTAGTGGTTAGATTGGGAGGGGGCTGGGAGTCAGAGGTGCTGGGTGCTGTACAGACACGGGGAGAAAAAGCCCCCACCCTAAAGCCAAGTCCGAACTATCTAACCAGACACAAGGTGCAGGAGGGATGATTATCCCCCATTCGTACAAGGGGAAATGGAGGCACAGGCAGGTTAAGTGACACCCAAGGAGTGTCCCATCTGCCCAGAGACCCCCATGATGGTCTGGCTGGGTGTGGGGCTGGGAGCAGAAACACTGAGACTGGTCCCTCACCTGCTACATAGATCTCCACGTAATCACTGGGATAGGACCAGTGGGGCGGCTCTGATCTGGAGTGAGATCGGCAGCTGTAGAACCCTCCGTCTTCCCGTCTGGCGCTGGGGATGGTGAATTCACCCCCGTCCCCAGCAGCATCCAGCTCCTGGATTTCCATTCCACCTTTATACAGAAATAACCTCCTGGCCTCACACTGACACTGACAGCGGATGGTGACGGCTCCCCCGGGGCAATCACCCCACTGGGGCTGACGGAGATGGAGGGTCTGGGCGCAGGGAGCTCTGCGTTCACACACAAACAGGAGTGAGATGGGGAGACACAAACCCCTCCCCGTGTGTCTGTAACCTGCCCTTAGCGCCCAGCCCCAGGGATAGCTCCGGTGCTAACGGACACCTCACTGCATCCACAGGGAACCTGTGGGCTGGGTTCTGATCTTAGCCCCTGGGGTCAATCCGGAGTCACCCCTGACTGCACTGGGGGCCGGGCTGGGTTCTGATCTCAGCCCATCAGGAAGTGACCATATTTCCCTCTGCTGAATACGGGACACCTGGTAAAATTACTCGTATTCAGGCAAGTTCAATGGCAATCAGTCTGAACTACGCAGTACAAACCTTCACATTCACATCAAGTGACTGAGCCCCTGTTAAAAAGAAATCCTGCGTAGCTGCATTCTTTTTATTTACCTTCTTATCTGTAAGGCTTTAGGGTTCAGATGGGGAGCGGTGACACAATGTGACGAACTGGGACTGTTCTTACTGTGGTCTTTGAATGCTGACAGGGGAGTGTGGCTAGGATAGTCTGCATTGGGGGATGGGAGACTGACCGACGGAGAATACCTGAGCATGTAACATGAGAACCCAGGAAGGAGTTAGAGGCCAGGTGACACCTTTGCCCAGGAAACTGAACAAAGGCGGTGGGGGGGGGGTCGCTGAAGGCAGAGTGCTGGAAGCGGGCTGGAGAGATGGCTGGGAGGCAGAGATGGCTCTGACCTCCCAAGGGGGGCTGGGGTGCCCTGGGACCCCAAGCTGGACCTAACTGAGGGGTATCCTGTTGTCTGGGCCTGCAAGACCTGTCTTGGACTGTGTTCCTGTCGTCTAAAATAAACCTTCTGCTTTACTGGCTGGCTGAGAGTCAT